TGATATGTTGCTGAACAGAACTATAGGTGTTTATTGCAGTTAAATTGATGATGATATGAACAGTGAAAGAGTAGTGTTTGTATGAAAAATTAGAATTTTTCTATGTTTAATGACAAAGTGGCTACAATGTTAAGGATTGAAATGGACAAGCAACATTTTTGGCTCTGTAAGTTCCAAAAACAAACAAACATAAAACCTGTACATTGGGGCAATTGTTGAATTGTTGTACCTGTGAGGCATTACAGAATACAAATGTATTTAAGTAAAATCAGAATAATGATATTCACAACAAAAATATCAAGTAAGGGATCTATATGGTGTTTTTAACTATACATGTTTGTGTTCCTGACCTTATAGTGCTCCTTTAATGTTAAAATGTTATATTAGGGGGGCGTGGCCACGCGACGAGCCAGGACGGACGTGTAAGCCGCAAGCTCCCGCACACGAGGCTCTACTCAGCGACTAAAACGGCGAAATAAACTAAAGTCACGAGCTCCCCTGGGTGTACAAAGAACATGGCACACCGGGCTACTAAAAAACCCAAACAAAAAACGGCAGACCTGCTGATATCGGCACTTACAGAGCCGAGACAAAAAATCCAAGATGGCGCCGATAACCCGTCCTCGCCGGCTTCCTGCTCGGACGGCAGTGACAACACATCTGTCTCCACACATGCCTCTGCACCAGCCACAGATTCTTCCATACACAGAATGCTAGAAGAACTCAAAAACTCCATGCATATGGAATTCACAAAACTGGCAAGAGACATTAAAGCTGACATACATGCCATAGGTGAGCGTACTGCCCATCTGGAAGATAAAACAGATGAGATCATAAGTGCCCATAACACACTGGCTGATGCATATACAGATATAACTGCCAAACTCGATTTCTTGACAAACAAAGTAACAGACCACGAAGACAGGGACAGAAGGAGCAACGTCCGCATAAGAGGTATTCCAGATGATATACCCCCACAAGATCTGCCGAAATTCGCAGCGGACCTCTTTCACGCTCTGTCCCCAGAACTGACACAGGCTGAACTCCTACTGGACAGGATTCACCGCCTCCCGCGGCCAAAGAACCTGCCGGCATCCCTTCCAAGAGACACTATAGCAAAATTTCATTACTTTACGTCTAAAGACAAAATCATGAGGGCCTCAAGACTCCTCCCTGAACTACCAGGCAAATATGCAAAAATACAGATTTTCACTGACCTCTCTGCGGCCACACTACTTAAGAGGAAATCACTGGCACCGATCACCACGGCTCTGAGAAAGGCTAATATTATCTACAGATGGGGTTTTCCAGCACGGCTGATCCTCAGGCGGAACGGCGCTGAAAAACATATCCTCACTGTAGAGGAAGGACACCGCTTGCTGAAAGAATGGAACGTACCCCAGCCAACACCGACCGGCGGCGATGTGCAGATCCCACAACGACGCTCCCCTGCACGGATATCCAGAGACTGGAGTACAGCTAAGTGACTTTACAGAGCACAGCTCGACACGCCAACCTCTAGCCGTTCCTACGGCTTAGTAATAACCTTTTACACCCGAGATGCCCTAACTTGATTTAATCCGCACATGTATTTTGTGGTAACAAGTTAGGAAACACGTCATGATGATTCCCCTACCGCATAATTTGTTAATTTCACAAAGACCACTCACGGGTAGCACGTTAGCTAAATACCCGCGCTATACAGAGTCCCTATACCCACAATTAGAGCCTCTTGCAGGCCCTCTGGTCCCCCCCATCAGGCCAAAGATGGCCCCATATACGCCGTTTGTACCCACCAGTACCACCCCTGACGGCAATGTGTATATAGTTCAAAATGTTATACTGTTTTTATTGTCTATGTCTCTATATGTTAACATGTCGCTAATGCCAGACCTCACCATTACCGACTACCCAACCAAGGGGCTATACACACGGGTCACACCCATGTCATTTATAGCCAAAGCCCATGGTACCCTCCCCCCCACAGGAAGCTTCCCCACTTTAAAACCAGGTAAATCACATCTAAATATGCTATGGCCATACCTGCAAAACCACACCACGCAACCAATAGGGTGCAACAGGGAGTTCACTCTTATGACAGATAAGCAATGGAGTGATAAGTTACAAAAACCAAAGACCTATATAGCAGATTCCCGAAACTACATAAAATGACCCTCACAATTATATCATTAAACACAAAAGGCCTCAACACACCTCACAAACGACGGCTAGCGTTGGAAGAAGCCAAGAAATCCAAAGCCCAAATCGCTTTCTTCCAGGAAACTCATTTCAAATGGGGCAATAGACCCAAATTTAACTCGGTCCTATACCCCCACGATTTTCACTCATGTTATAAATAAAAAAAAAGAGGAGTAACCACTCTAATTAGCAAAGATGCATCCTTCACATTGGTGAAAAAAATTGGTGACAAACACGGTAGATACCTAATCATTCAATGTTATATCAACAACAACCCATACACACTGGTCAACATCTATGGACCAAATGACAACCAACACGAGTTTATGGTGAAAATATTTGGCTTACTTTCATTATATCGCTTCGGAGATACCATAATTGGAGGGGACACCAACTTTTTGCTAAATACCTCCATAGACACATCCACATACCACCCAGACCATCTGAAAACAACCAAACGACTAACAACCCTCACCTCCAAGATTGCACACACCATCCTCGCACATGACTTCGTAGACCCCTGGAGGATACTCCATCCCACTGACAAAGATTATACCTTCCACTCTGCAGTACATAACACATACACAAGGATAGACAGATTCTTGATATCTACCAAATACATAGACAGAGTCCAGACAGCAGGAATAGGCCTCATAACGTGGTCAGACCACGCACCTATCACACTGTCCATCCAAGAACAACACATGTTAAAGGGAAAAGGCACCTGGAGACTAAATGATACCTTGCTCGCAAATCAAGACATAGTAGCCAACATACAACACGACATGGACATCTACTTCAAAGAAAATGCAACGGAAGGCACGAGCATAGAGACACTATGGCAAGCACATAAAGCAGTCATCAGAGGCACAATTATTAAAATAGCCAGTTACCACAACAAGCAGCGTAGGATGAAATACACAAAACTCATACACGACATCGCAGATCTCACACACAAAAATAAACTACAACCCTCCAAAGACACACACGCACAACTAACCTTGCTACACAAAGATCTCCACCAACTAGAAATGGAGAAAACCACCTATCTATTGCAGAGATACAAACACAAGTTCTTTGCCACTGGAAACAAAGCTGGGGCCCTATTAGCCGCACAGCTTAAAACCAAGTCACAATCCTCAAAAATAGCATATATACAAAATTCCAAAAAACACAAAATAATCAACCCACAAGACATAGTGAATGAGTTTGCATCCTACTACAGCTCCCTGTACAACCTTAAAGATGATCCGCAGACAACACCACCCTCCCCCCAATCTATTATAGACTTCTTACACTCCACAGATGTCCCCAGTCTAAGAGCTGAAGACATAGCAACTCTCACCTCCCCTTTCACAGTAAGTGAAGTGGAAACGACTGTCCATGACCTACCCAAGCAAAAAGCCCCAGGACCAGACGGCTTTTCCAACCTATATTACCAAACCTATGCCAAAACCCTCATACCCCACCTGACGAACCTCTTCAACTCCTGCTACACTTCAGGGCAAATACCCAGGGACATGCTAACGGCCCACATATCGACGCTCCCCAAACCAGGTAAATCACCAACATTATGCCAAAACTTTAGGCCGATCTCCCTTATTAATGCAGATGTCAAAATATACGCCAAGCTCCTGGCCAATATGCTATCCCGAATTCTACCTACACTGATACATAATGACCAGTCTGGGTTCATCAAAGGCAGACAAGGCTTGGACAACACGAGAAAAATCCTAAACATACTATCACACATGCACAAATCACAAACGAATGGTCTAATTTTAGCCCTTGATGCCGAAAAGGCCTTCGATAGAGTCAATTGGGAATATATGCAACAGGTCCTCCGCAGGTTCGGATTTCCGGAAGGTCTTATTGTAGGCATCATGGCCCTATACAACGCCCCACAAGCGATGGTATCCAACTCAGACTTCCTATCTACGCCCTTCCATATTACCAACGGCACCAGACAAGGATGCCCTCTGTCACCGCTTCTCTTTAAACTATCACTAGAACCCCTAGCGTATAAAATCAGACACCACAGCTCGATTACAGGTATACCCATAAAAAAACACACATATTGTCTCTCTATGTTTGCGGATGATATTCTGCTTACAGTCAAAGAACCGGAAAAATCGGTGCCAGCACTGATACACCTATTAGACCAATTCGGACAACTATCATACTACAAACTTAACCAGAGCAAGACTCAAGCCCTTCCAATAAATCTACCGCATGCACTGCAAGTACAACTCAAACAAGCATTCCCCTTTGACTGGAGAACTAACGATATCACCTACCTGGGGGTAAAACTCGGGCCATCCCCCACAACCACTTTTGATCTTAACTTTAAACCCTTAATATCACTATGCATAACACATACCCACCAATGGAAAAAAGTAAAACTTTCCTGGCTGGGTAGGATAAACTCAATTAAGATGTTGCTACTCCCAAAGCTACTATACAAATTTAGAATGTTACCTATCTATGCTAACCCGAAGTTTTACAAACACCTACAGGCCATAATCTCCTCCTTTGTGTGGGAGGCACGTAAACCACGGCTAGCAAGCTCACTCCTCCAACAACGCACACAGCAGGGTGGCCTAGGCCTCCCAGATGTGGCCAAATATCACAAAGCATCACTCTTAGAAGCAGCAATTAAACTCCACGCCACCAAAGGAACCTTCCAATGGGTAGATATGGAGCACGCCACTGCACCTGGGGGTTCACTAATACCGATGCTATGGACACCCCCGCAACTCCGACCACACACACCCCATATGTTCCAGACCTCAGTCCTCACGATGAAACAATGGGACAGCCTACATCACTCTAAGAACAAGAGTGAAAAATTCCACCCGAGAGCTCCAATGGCAGCCCTAGGCTCCCTAGCCCCGGGATTGACATGGAGCTCCTGGAGGAAACAAGGCATCACACACATAGCGGACGCTTACCACAACCAACAACTTATGCCCTTCCCGGACCTCCAAAAGAAATACGGACTACCGAATTCCTCCATTTTCCAATACCTCCAACTCAAAAGCATCGCGGCCCATAAAATCCTTACACAAAGGGACACCACACCCCATGACCACCACTTCCTAGACGCCATACATGACAGATGCTGGCAGACACCCACCAAACCCAAGTCCCTCGCTCTATGTTATGCTTCACTGCTACACAACACCGCCACCACACACTTTCCCTACGAAAAACAATGGCAAGCGGAATACGCCCCCTCTCCATCAGGAGACGCCTGGTTGCGCTCTCTTAATGCACTTAAAGGTGTCACCAACTGCTATTCCCATGTGAAAGCCCACAAAAAATTGATTTATAGGTGGTACCTCACACCCAGTAGACTTCACAGAATATACCCCACGGTCACAGCGGAATGCTGGAGGTGCAAAACCACAGAAGGCACGATGATCCACATTTGGTGGGATTGCCCTGTCCTGCTACCACTTTGGCGACATGTGGACAGCACCCTCAAATCCTTAAATGTCAAGAATGTAACTCTCAATCCATCAGTTTGCCTATTCTTACTATTCCCCACACCCATACCCAAACCTCTAAAACAAGTAGCTATACTTACCATATTGGCGGCTAGGAACCTTATCGCGACAAACTGGAAAAGTGACATTTGCCCATCCAGACAGCAACTGTTGGACAAACTCAATCTATACTATACGTATGAACGTATGACCACAAATTCCCCCAAACGTTCACAGGCTCTGAGAGAAGCCTGGACGCCATGGGCCAACATATACGCCAACCAACAGCGAGTACCAGACCTACCCATACCTATATAAGCCAACCCTTTCCCCGAACATTATATGCTACTACCCAGATCAGAGCTATCATCCCCGACCGCCTACAACACCCAAACGCTGACTATGACATTGGGCTCCGCTATAAACAGAAACGCACCCATAAATAAAGGGAAACGCACCCACACACATATGCTCGCACTCCCCCCAAGGTAGACGACAAACACCAAGATCGTATGCGTTAGTGACACTATAACCGGTTATCCCCCAAGTTTGATAAGACATGTTACTACCCCCCCGATTACTAACCCTTCCCTCACCCTGGTTTGGGCCAAAGCCCTGCACTATTAGGTCATCGTCACAAACCAAACCTGAGGTAATCCATAGGATATACGCAACTTGAAACCAGCTGTATAGAATATTGAATGACTTTGTGATGTACCCCGCCCCCACCCCTCCCCCGTTTTCTTTTCTGTATCCCACATCCCAGTACTTTACTGAAAAAAAAATAAAAAGTAAATTATAAAAAAATAAAAAATAAAGTACTCACCCACACATACAGCCTCTGCATACCTTCCCCTGGCAGGGCCCCACACCCCTCTCACGAATATCACGTCGTGAGCTGCAAGAAGTCCCAAATGGTTGGGGGTATGAGAATATCAAAGACATAGGACACTCACAGATACCGATCAGGTCGAATTGCGCTAGATAATGGGCATACCCAACTATTGTGTGATCTGTAAACACGAAAATAGGTAATGTTATACTATTATGGATGTCTATCACTGAATTGGTGCACTACAAACAACTGTTTGACTTCCCACCCTTTTTTCCTTCTGTAAACCCCACCTTTTAAAATTGAAAAACTCAATACATAAATAAAGATTGTCAAAAAAATAAAAAAAATTAAAAAAAAAAATGTTATATTAGGCCAAAATTCTTGTTTTGGTTCAGAAATTAGACAATTGCCTTAATACTTTGGGGGCAAACCCTCCCTTATATGAATAAGGGGGTCATATTAATTCCCATATGCCTTTTTTTGTTTTTATTATTATTATTGGTATTTATATAGCGCCAACTAATTCCGCAGCGCTTTACAATATTATGAAGGGGGGGGGGATTTACAATAAGTGGGACAATTACACAGTGACAGAGGAACAATATGTAGATGAGGACCCTGCTCAAACGAGCTTACAGTCTAGATGAGGTTGGGTACAAATACACAACAGGGCAGCAAGGGTGACAGCCAAAAAACAAGATGGAAAAGTAGCAGAGGTGGAGGTGAGACTGGAGTATGGCTCTTTAGGAGAGAAAGAGACAGATTTGGATAAGTATAGATAAGTTACTCTGGGAGTCCATAAGCATTCCTGAACAGATGTGTTTTGATGGACTTCTTAAACAATTGAAGACTAGGGGAGAGTCTGATGGGGGTAGGCAGGCTGTTCCAAAAGAAGAGAGCCGCCTTCGAGAAGTCCTGCAAGCGTGAGTTAGTAGTTGGTACTTACAGACCAAGAGTCTAAATTGACTCAATTCTTGAGCACTGTGCAGATTAAGGGACTGCACTCCCAGATGTAAATGGATGGATGGAGAACCAAATGAAAAAGAATAAGTGAATTTATTAACACAGTATATAAAATAAATACAAATAAAATCGGATCAATGTCAAAATAAAAAGCCGGAACGCGTTTCACCACACAAGCGTGGCTTCCTCAACCGGATCGATATGCTTCAGAATTTAGACTCTTGGTCTGTAAGTACCCACTTGGGATCAATATCTTTATTTTAACTATTATAGACTGTGCTACGCTATCTCCGGTCCATTTATTTCCCTGTAGGACAAGACGTACATCCTAAACAGGGGTGGGTCACCTATACGGACCCGAGAGTGATTTCAACTAGAGCTGGGTCCACAGCTCTCTGTTTGTGAGTGAATAATACCATATATAGATATATGAATGTACAGTTATATACCATCTGCACTATGTATGATTATCTTTTGTAGATAAACCATTTATTGGACACCTGGATAAAGGGGAAAAAAATATTTTTCGTCCAATTACCAAAAGGTGATAATATTATTTTTTACAGTATAAGCGCTACATTCTTTAAGGAATTTTTTCCTTTTTTACTGTTTGAATTTATTGGTGACATTGAGGGAGTCATGAGAATGTTTAGCAGCTAAATTTATCTATTACCATTGGATATATGTCTTTCTATTGGGAACAATAAGCGCTGAGTCCTTAACTCTTTCTTTTCTTGGGAAAAAAATTAGGCCCGTGCATTTTTCAATCAGAGCGGCCCCCTAAGAAGGGGGCAGGCCAGAGAGTGTGTGTTTTGTTATCACTAATGACAAGCACGCCCCCTCTCAAAGTGAGCATGTTGGTTCAATGCGCAGAGCCCCGCTGAAGAGCTCTGGCATTAGAAAAAGGCCCTGAATTTGTTCTGTGCAGCGCAAGCAAATTTAATAACATGCTTGCGCTGTGTTTGCTTTTAACCCCTTAAGGACTGGACTGTTTTTGCGATGTTGTACATTTGCGACCAGGCATATTTTTACACTTTTGTGGTGTTTGTGTTTGGCTGTAATTTTCCGCTTTCATTTACTGCCCATACAAATTATATATTGTTTTTTTGACAAAGTACTTTTACATACCATTATTTATATAATCTCATGTATTTTAATTTAAAAAAAAAGAGCACTATGCATTGACTTCACAATTATTGTCACATTGTATTTAACCATTTGGAGTCCCCATAACGTTTATTGAGCGTCAGGGACGAATACATATGTAAGCATTTGATCTACCAGACGTCTGTCTGGCCATGAGGGGTCTCTTTCGTTTGGGCAGATGCGCTGCCCTCTATCCAAATAACAATTCACATGTCCGGCACAATGAGGGTGGCGTTTGGTCTCCTAGCCGACATGCTTAGTGTTAAGCATGATACGGCCGGAGACACCCACCCCCGTTCACACCAACGGGGCGTGACTGATGCTGATTGATAGTTCTATGCCGTCGGCATTTTTCGTCACGCACGGACTAAACACGTCCCTTGGTATGATTGGCTGGAGGAGGAATAGGAGGGATATTTAAACGGAGCTAGGAACAGTATCAAACTTACCTTTGACAAAGGCGCTTTGGGAGCGCCGAAACGTGCGTTAGGTCCCTTTCTTCTTTTAATTTTTAGCACTGATGTGACCACAGGGTGGGGGTTATGGACTCATTATCAGCTGGATTTCGTTTTATTAGCTGTTAGCAACCGCAGACCATTTGCAGCAGACTGTGAGAGTAGAATCTTCTTTTCTTCCACAGGATCAGACGGGACTGCCTTATATTAGCAGTGGCAGTAGTCAGCATTCTTATTTTTATTACAAACCTGGCTGTTTGCAGGCAATAGAAGTGCGCAGGGCTACTAGTCACTTGCCTTTAGGCAGATGAGATATTGTGTTTTTGTTTCCATCTTTGGAGCTACTATCTGTTTTGGCTACTTGATAGACATAGACAGATTCTATATTTTAGTCCATCTGACCACATGATGAGAATTTTGATCTTAGTACCTAGTGTCAGGATTACTGTTTGATCCAGCACGTAGAACTGTACAGCACGGATGACAAATAAGTAACGTATTACCGGTCCTTAGAATGGCCGGATTTAACGTACAAAGAATAGTCAAAAATACTAGCCGAGGTCAGGGAACACAGAAAGGGACACAGCGATGAGGAAAGCCAGGAGTCAGGATACCAGAATATAGAGAGTCAATAAACAAAGCCAAAGTCAAAAATATTTGAAGTCTACGTGTATATTTATATAATTATTTATGTAATTTTGTATATGGACGTATGTATATTTCGTATTATTTTTATTTATTTTTATATACATAGATATATATACAAATTCATTCTAAGTGTATTTTGATATAAATATATATATATTAATTTTAAAATACAGTTAGAATAAAATTTCATATAGCTATATAATTTTTTTAAAATTTTTTATTATTATTTTTTAAAAAAATTATTTAATTTAAATTACTTATTATTTATATTTTATAATAATATATATATACAATATATATAGTTATTATATATATTATATATATATACGTGTGTAATTTAATTATAAGTGTATTTTTATATTAATATAAGTACATATTAATATAAAAATACACTTAGTATGGCATTATATATATATGATATATAGACATTTATTATATATATATAATATATGTCTATATATCATATTTATACATATATAATTATTATTATTTTTTTATTACCATTAACTTTAATTTTTTTTCTGATTTTACAGTTGCAGGGAGACTGCCTGTCAGTACAGACAGTCCCCCTGCAGGCAGACACATGGACACCTATTGTGACCATGTGATCGCTGTGGTAAGCGATCACATGGCCACAGGGGTCCTAATCTGCCGTGGGGAGACTGTCTGGGCTGCAGGCAGT